TTCTCTGTTTAGCTCTTTAGCCCATTTTTTAATTGGACTGTTCAGTGCTTTGATGTCTAGTTTCTTGAGTTCTTTATATATTGTGGAGATCAATCCTCTGTGTGAGACTCTTTCTAAGAAGAAAAGAAAAGCAGTCCCCACTGAGACTGAGGCAAACCTCAGTGAGAAGAGCTGGCCTCTGCCTGATTTCCATGAGGCGATGTGGACACAACAGGAGAGTGTGTCACTGTGAGTCCCACACTTGCTGGAGTGTTCATGGCTTCCAAGCCCTTCAGAGATGGAAGAGGCTGGGGCCATGGCCTTCGCAGGAGCTGCCGGAATGTGGAACATGGCGTGCATTCCTTCATCTCCTGTGCTTGGGAAAAGCACAGATAGCTTGGGAACAGATCCACACATAGTGCAGAATAAGCAGGGGGCTTACGTGGTTGCATCCACGGAGGGAAGGGGTCTATTTTGTTGCCTTTCACTGAGACTAAGACCTGATTTGTTCCCACATCTGGGCTGCTCAGGGAGACATCCCCATTCTTCATTTAAGGTGTTGTGTGATACCATTCCTGATGAGATGTAAACAAACGTCTACTCACCCCAGACAGGGAACCAACAGACCAAAGTAAGGATGCCACCAAAGTCCAACTCGGGGCATCAATGAGTTAAGTCTACTGGGGCCGCTATGGAGAGTGGATGGGGAATTACTTACAGGAGTCAATGACAGCTACACTGTCAAGATCCCACTCCAGCACCGGTGATGGCTCATGAAACTGGAAACCCGGAGTGCAGGGCACAACTTGCAAGCAGCCTGATGTGTTGGGGAGTCTCTTCCAGCAGCTCAGCAGGCCTGAGTGTCTCCAAGCGGTCCTTTCTGCTCATATGCACTGAAGGGGAGGACCTAGTAAGTCTGGTCAGTTTCAGGGGCTTCCTGGAGCTTTTGAGTTGTTCACTTCCTGAGTTTAAAGGAGTTTCCCCGTGGGATGGAATGTTCCCTTTCCTTTAGATGGGCTTGAGTTTTAACATTTCCTTACAAGTCAGAGAGACAGCCCACAATGCCACTTCCCACTAAACTGCCATTCAGTACCAACAGGACAGTCGTGAGCATCCAAGGCTTGGTGGTATCACCTTCCCTCAACAATCTGGAGGCTCTCAGAAGCCCTCCAGGAGGAAGGTGGCATGTGACTTTTACAGTCCTGCTCTACCAGGCTCACAGGAACAGGGGCCACACCCTCAAACCTGGGTCTCTACCTGCCACGTAGAAACTTCCTTGGGAGGCAGGCAGAGCCTTGTCCCTCCTCCCCTTCCGTCCTCTCCATTCCCACCTAGCCTGGTCCATCTGAACCTGGGCAGGCACCCAGCCAAGGCAGAGAGCAGAGACGGCCACGGCCTTCTAGGATGTACAGGGGTCCAGGGGCAGTGGTCCAAGTGTATTCTTCGTGGCTTTTGTTGTTTCATGTTGTTTGTTTGTGGTAAGGCCTTACAGTAT